AATCCAGGATGTATCACTAAAATAAAACGATGTTTGGGGGCAGGGGCCAGAGAGATAGCTCAGCGGTAAAGAGCACCTTTTTGTTGCAGAGGACCTGGGTTCAGTCCCCAGCATCCACATGGCAGTACCATCTGTAACTCTAGTTTCAGGAGGTCCCATACCTTCTTTTGGCCTCCGAGGGTACTAGGAACACATGTAATATACATACATATAATGCAAGACACTCAAAAAAAAAAAAAGAAAAAAATAATGCAAGACACTCATACACATACAAAATCTACATTCTTTTTTTCATTTTTCCTCTTAATGGAAATAGATTCTTCTCTCACCCTGATTATAGTTTCCCTTCCCTCTACTCCTATTTCCTCCCACTTCCCCTGTCCTTCAGATCCACTCCCTTTCTGGCTCTCATTAGAAAAGAACAGGCTTCTAAGAGATAACAACTAAACATGACAAAATAAAATACAATAAGATGAAGCAAAAACTATCATAAAAACATGGAATGCTTCACAAATTTGCGTGTCATCCTTCTGCAGGGGCCATGCTAATCTTCTCTGTATTGTTCCAATTTTAGTATATGAGCTGCCAAAGCAAGCACAAGTTTAAATGTTTTAGAGAGAGAGAGAGTAAAAGAAAGAGAACTTAATGCTCTTGTAGAGGATTTGCATTCTTTTCCAGTACCCATATTGGATAGCTCACAATGAGCTACAGCTCCAGCTCCAGGGGATCTGGTGCCCTCTTTTGGCCTCCTCAGACACCTGCACTCACGTGGTGCACATATTTCCTCACAGACACACACACAAACACACAGTTAAAATAAAATAAATCTGGGGGCTGGAGATGGTTTAGTGGTTAGGAGTACTGCCTGCTCTTCCAGAGGACCCAGGTTCTATTCACAGCACCAGCATGGTGGCACATAGTCATCTGTAACTCCAGTTCTGGCCTCCAAGGGTACCGGGCACACATGCAAGCAGAACACTTACTCACATTTAAAAAAAAAAAAAAATCTTTTGAAAAAAAACTGCTTGTAAATGAAAACTCAAAAGATCATAATAAGCACAAGAACATTCATCTATAGGCAGGCTAGGTGCTTGAGATACACAAAACTCAACAAGCTAAGTATATCTAAGAAGGTTTAACTGGACTATGGTTTGCATGTAAAGGACTTGGTTTGAGTTCCCTGCTTACACTACAGTGTGTAAGTGGAAGGGTTCAGGGTGGAGGTGAGTCATGATCGAGTGGTGTGCTCAGTTTTGGGCATGACCAGAGGTGCCAGGCTCCAGGAAAACAGCACTTGTGCCCCTCTTATAGTTAGGAAAGGAGACATTAATGCAATAAAGATAGTGACATACTCAGAGGTATCAACTACTTGGGGGATTAAGCTTGTTCAGGGTGGTTTTGGAGAGCTAAGTAAGAATGTATGTAAGAGAAGGTGAATTTTGCCCAGAATGGGGCTGTTTTAATGATGACAGCTGTCCAAATATGGAGCACACTGCCTCTTGTGGCCTCCACCACTTCACAGGAGGCCTGCAGAGGGCTGAGAACTGGCCAGGCAGGCCTCCTTTACAAGTCACCTCCTGGCTTTGCTATCTGAATAGCTTTTTAATCTAACCTGCCTTTTATTAATGCCGTCTTTCTTAATGCCTCCGATGGTCTTTGATCAAACTGCATCCTTCTGCATTGCAGTAGCCCTTCTTCCCCTTCCCTTCCTGTCCTCAAGTGATTAAGTGCGCGGCTGTGAGCCTTGCTGGAAGACAGAGTAACCTTTCTTATTAAAGCCTTGCACAGAAGAAGCGAGGACAGTGCTGTGCGCAAAACAGAGCCGCCCCAATGTTCTCGTTTTTAAAAGGCAGGTAGGTTGTCACTGTGTCACCGTGGCTGGCCTGGAATTCACTGTGTTGACCAGGTTAGTCCCAAACTCCTACCTGCCTGCCTCTGCCTCGTGAGTGCTGGAATCAAGGGCATACTCCACTACACCCTTCCTATTTCTTCTATTTAACTGAGATAAATCCTTTATTTCTAAAGAAAAGTAACCAGGGATTCTGTCTTTGGGAGTCTGGATTCATAAGTTTTGTCAACCTCTAAGCAAGGGGTCTGAGAGATACCAACAGACAGAAGAAACAAAGGCCTATTTGGTATGATAATATGCCCGGGGCCCATACTGAGCTAAAAGAAAATCAAACTATTGGTTTAAGGGGTCATTCCAGCCTTCAGTACAAACAAACAAATAAACAAACAAACACTGGCAAAGAACATTCCAGAAGGGCAATGGAATGTGGTAGCAGTGCCTATAAGAATACAGGCTATTCTCATCTTTGGCAGCCCTATAATGTAGTTTTGCCTTCGTTTTGTTTTAAACCTACATTTCATAGCCATTCTCATAAGGCAAGTGGTTCAGAGGCTGTCAGGTTTGTTCATGAATGGAAATCAATGAACTGGAGTCCAGCAGACATTTGCTGAGGTCTTCCTGCTGGCCCAGCCAGACTGTTACTAATGGGTGGGACTCTCATTCACTTAAACTGCTGGTACTCAATAAATGATGAGTGGGTTGGGGGGGGGGTGGAGGGGCTGACAAGACAGACAAGTCGAGATACTAGGAGACTGCAGTAAACAAAAAACAAACCAAAACAAAAATTATAGCTATAGGGAATGTCCCACAGAAGGGTGCCGGGGGAGGGGGCCTTGAATAATGTCACTGAAGTTACAATGGGGAGGGAGCTGCTTTAGATAGCATAAGTATCTTTCAAAAGGGGAGGAACAAATGGAGAAGATGGCCTGAGGGAAGTACAGCCCAGAGAGAGGGGGCTACAACAAACAGCCAAGTGAATTTCTCAGGCAGTTTCCAAACTGAGAAAGGGCACGATCTTCCTGCCCTCTGTGCCTCTTGCTATTGGTGTGAAAAGCACTAAATCAGGCAGGACTGGGACACAGTCACCCCGAAGACCCACCAGCTCTCCATCACCACACCCCCAGCTCGCAGGCAGTCACCTGATCCTCCTGAAGAGGCTGTGACCTAACCAGTTTCCACCTTGCTTCTAGGGAGTGCATTGCTATACACTACAATTTCTGTTTGTTTGTTTCGTGTAGGGTTCTGTTGGTCCTTTTCCAAGTATCAATCAGAGCTGCATGCCAGCCTCCACTCCTTGGAAATAATTAAATGAAATGACGTACTTGATTTTTTTTTTTTTTCCCAGTCTGGTAATGCACTGCGATTTGCATCTGTTGAAGGAATCTATCTTAAGTCTTGAGGAGGAGCCGTGTGGGAAGCCTCAAGTGATCTGGTGGGGGGGGGGGGTTAGCGTTGCTAAACACTGTGGAAGAAATACTTTATTTTGCAATCGATTCCCTTAAGGAAGCTGCTCTTTGTGAAAATATCCGTGAATTCAATGCAAAGGTTCTATCCCCTGTTTAATATGGCTTCACACCTTCCTCTGCTTTTAAATTTATTTTTTAGAGAAGGTCCAACATCCCGGCCTAGTTCCAAACTCCTTAAATGCCGGAGGATGACCTTGAACTCTTGATACTATTGCTTCCAGCTTTGCGTGCTGAGATCACAGGCGGACATCACACTTGACTCATTACTGCCTCTTTATATTGGCAAAATATGCTAGGCTCTGAACAGACCTCACGGACAGAGCAGATGATCTGTGGTTTAAGAATAGGTTTGGGATGGAAGGCTCCTTCTCTCCTATTGGGGGAAGTGGAAGTCTGTTCAGCAGCCTTCATTTTAAGGGCAAAGTCAAGCACCCAGCTTATGCGTTACTGCTACAGCATAACCTGTGACTTCTATGCAGACGGTGTGTCAAAGGCTGTGTGGGCTACTAAAAACGAAATAAAACTTCCTCCTTCCTCCCCCAAGGGTGGGATTCCCTGTCGGGGGCACAGAATCCGCAGGGGAAGGAAGGGCTGGTGTTGGCGTGCGAAGGAGACGGGGCTCTCGGCTGGGGGTGTGGGATGCGGTGTTCCCGAGGCGACAGATGAGCGATTTTGGCTGTGTGGGAAGAGAACTGCGGAATTCCTCCCCTTGCTTGCAGAGGGGGGCTCCGAAGGAGACATTAGGATGCAGAGCACGGTTCGTGTTGTCCAGGGCGCGGAGGCGAGCCAAGGACACCCGTCCGAGCGCGCCTCGGTCGCCCGCGTTCCGGCACCTCCCCGCCGCCGCCCGGCCCCAGGCGGCAGTCGGTCCCCCGCAGCGGCGGGCAACGAGCGCGGAGCGCCCACCCCTCAGCCCCGCATCCGTCACGACCCGCGAAAGCCCCGACCGAGAAAACTCGGGCTCGCCCTCAGCCCGCCCTGGCCGCAGCGAGCAAAGCGTGGACCAGGAGGCGGCCTGCGCGCACTCGCACACGCACACGCGCGCGCGCGGCCTCGATCCGGGTTACTGGGGGGCGGCGCGCGGGAGGGGGCGGGGCCTGCCGGCGGCGTGGGCGCGCGGCGCGCGCGCGGGAGGGCGCCGGGGGAGGGGGCGGGGCCGGGCCGCCCGCGCCGCGCTGGGCGCTCTCGGCCAATGAGCGGCGTCCACATGCCGCGGCGGCGGCGAGAGGGGAGGCAGCGGCGGATAAATGCTATTAGAGCAGCCGCGGCGGAGCCGTCCCCGACGCCACCTCCCGTCTCCTCCGCCGCAGCTTCCTCCGCCGCTGTCGGGGGTGCAGAGCTGAGGGGCTCGTGCAAGGCGCGCCGCGCAGCTCCCGTCCGGACGCCTGCCTCGCTGTCCTCTGCACCGAGGGCTCGGCCGGGCGCCCCTCCTCAGCCGCGCCGGGTCTCAAGGCAGCGCCGCGGCCTGCGCTGCCTGCGGCCGGCTGGCAGCTGAGGCGACGCGCCCTCGCGGCGCGGCGGGACTCTCGCAGCCCTTCGGGTGGGCTCGGCGAGGCCGGGCCGCGTGCGGCGGTTTCTGGGGGAGGGGGCTCGGGTGATTCAGCGCCCGGCCAGGCGGAAGCGGCCGCAGCCGCGGAGGAGGGGACAGCTGTCCGCGCCCGGGCGCCCGCGGTGGCACGAGCCCGCGGCCCGAGTGCGAGGCGGAGGCGAGGAGGCCGCGGGGACGCGAGGCGAGGCCGGCCGGGGCCCCCGCAGCCATGGAGAACGCTCACACAAAGACGGTGGAGGAGGTGCTGGGCCACTTTGGCGTCAACGAGAGCACGGGGCTGAGCCTGGAGCAGGTCAAGAAGCTCAAGGAGAGATGGGGTTCCAACGGTAGGTGCGGGGCGCCGGGGCTGCAGCGGCGCGGCGCGGGCCCGAGCGCCAAGGAAGATGGCTGACCCGGCTCCACCTCGTGGGGCTCGGCTCGGCTCAGCGCCCGACGGCTGCGAGAGGCCGGACGGTCCGACCGCACGCGGGTCCGGGCCTCTCCCGACCTCTAGGGGTCTCGAGCCGATGACCTTCCCGGAGCGCTGCGAGCCGGGGCGGGGGTGGGGGAAAAGCCCCTGCGGCTGGCCTGAGTCCCCCGCGGGTTTATGAGGCGTCGGTGTAGTTGAGAAAGCCTCCGACCGTTTTTTGTACTCCCCAAAGTTACACATCTGGCAGAAATGATGACCCAGCTGAAACGTCTGCATGGTCCGGGAGGCCCGAGTGAGCTTACGGGCAGGACCGTGGCCATTGATTACCTGGCCTGCTTATTTTTCTCGGGTATCAGTGGAGAGAGATTGAATGTTCATGTACCCACACTGCCTTTCAGACAACGATGGTGGTGAATTTAGCAGTTTATAAGGCACTAATAACATGTCTTTTTTTTCCCCCTCCTGACACGTTGGCTGGTGAATTTCGGCATTCTAGAATTACCGGCTGAAGAAGGTAAATCTTATTGTTGTTTTGGAGAGACCGTCTGTGTGCGGACACGGGTTGATTGATATAGACAGTTACAACAAATGCCCTTTTTTTTTTTTCTTACCAGGAAAAACCTTGCTGGAACTTGTGATTGAGCAGTTTGAAGACTTACTAGTTAGGATTTTATTGTTGGCAGCATGTATATCTTTCGTAAGTATTACAAAAAGAATTTCATATGCCCATAAAAGCTGAAAGTATTTCACTGATACACCAGAAAACAAATAATAGCCATTGAGTTTCTGTGTTTAAAAAGACAAAATAACCCAAGTGTTTGAGACCAAAAAAAAATTGCCAGAAGCGGTTTTGTTTAGAAAATAGATGCCTAGCTTTTATAGTGCAGTGAGACATGACTCCTGACTGCAGGGTCTCTGACATTCCTGTGCCTTATCAGGTTTTCGTTTTAGTATCAGAAAGTTTCTCGTTGCCAGGCCTTTTCTGTTGGGGTTCTTCCACTTGTTATCATGTTGTAAGATCATGCGAAGATGATGTTGGGCACTTTGTAAATAGAATGTACAAAGGGAATATTCCAGTTGCTTTGCCTTCCTCGTAGTGGCAAGGTGACAGTTGTTCCTGACAGTGACAAGAATGATGAGGGCAGTGATGGCACCACTGTTGACCAAATTTGGTCACTGACCTTTAGGATGGCTTCTAACCTGGACCCCCTGTCATGAGTGATTCCTAGATTGAGAGAACAAAGTTCAGTACTTTTGGTTCTAAATATTAAAGAGGGAATAAAGGTAGAAGTGGTTTTGGGTTGTTTTTGTTTTGTCCTCATCCCCCCCTGTTCTGTATGTGCTTGAGCCCTGTGTGGTTGCTAAGAAACTAGTGAAATGCAGAGCCTGTCTAAGAAAAGCTAAAAGAAATGGCAAGGTTATTTCTAGGTTATTAGCATTTTTCTCTTGGGCATTTTTTTTTTTTTTCTGCATTCTCTAGCCAATGAACTTGTATAGTCCCCTTAAGATGATAGTAGTGGTACACAGATGCTCTTAGCCTTCGTAGCACACACTGCTTTTTGTTTTTACAGGACTGTATTATACTGTGATGGGAAGTGAAAATCATGTAATACTTGTTTCAGGTTTCACAAAACTGACAGCTATAAGGTTTCAATTATGTATGTTCACATGTTGGCAGACCTAGGTAGGGGTCCTGTGGTCGTGTGTGGCCTCTGGAAACACTAGCATAGAGGATTGTTTAGAGAACTCGCTGAGTTCAGGTAAGGAAAAGATTAAATTTTAGTTATTTTTAAAGTAAATATTGGTGACAAAGTTGACCTTGAGCAATTGTGTGCCTGAATTTTGCCTTGAAACTGTAGTATGTCATATTAGCCAAGTGTTGTGTGGCCATTACCAGTTTAGTTCTCAGGAGTCTTGTGTGTGGTTTTCATCGGATAAAATTCAGACACCTGTAGCAAGCCTTTCAGCATACTCAGAGTCATTCACTCTCTATTCCTTACACATCTTTTTGTGATTAATTTTTAAAAATTTTACCCTATAAATGGCTGTGCCATTGTTAAGACAAGATAGACAGTAAAGTTGTTTATAGTTTGAGCATGCTGACATGAGGTAAAATAAATTATATATTTGGGGAGTTGTTCAGGGTTTGTACTTATGCAGGCTACATAATTCTGAAAGTCTGCTTTGGCAGTTAAATACTGGCATTCACTAAGGTCATTAGGGACATAGAACTTAACTAGCTGATATATACAAGCCATAGGCAAAATGCATTCCCACTGGCTCCTTCTGTGTTCTTGGAAATAGTGTCCCTTGACAAAGATCAAGTTACCGGCTATTGGATATCAGGGTTTCAAAATAGTGAGTGGTCAGTTTGACTTTTTAGCAAGTAAGATTAATGCTTGTAGATGGATCTTAAAGTTTTAGTAATTGTTAACTTTGAATCATTTTCAAACTTTTAAGTGCTTAACTTTTCTGTAATAGAGGATGTTGCTTGTTAGTGTTTGTAGTTTAAATGTGATTTCATTTTCAATAACTACTTGGAATTCTTGTTCAGGAAATGAACTGTTACATTTTTATGTTGTGAGTTGTTAAATGGCTAAAGTGTAAGTGTTTAGGAAATGCTTTATAGAATTCACCTAATTTGCTTTGGTTTATTTGATCGAGATTGTGGATAGATTAAGATACTGTTCTAAGGCTGCTCTAACCTGTACTTACTCTAGAATGTGTGTTACTGACTATAGAGTTTTAAGTTTGTATTCAAACCTTTGAAAATGAACTGTAAGGTTGCCTTGTTTCAAAAGAAAAGGTTCAGGAAGCCAAGGGATTAGGACAGCCTGGGCTAGAGTAAGACCCTATCTCAAAAGCTATAAAAGTGGAAAATAGAGAAATTGTGCTAGAAGGGTATTATTTGTTGATGCTTTCTGTGGAGGGTTGATGTTGCTATGTGCTACTTGATCTGTGTTTTCCCTGCTTCTTTTCATTTCTGTTACTGCCTATGTATTTGTGTACAGTGTAGGTATGTGTGTTCTTATTCAGGTATGTGGATGCACTTATGTGAATATGTGTTCAGTGGCCAGAAGTTGACATCAGGTGTCTTGCTTAATGACTCTCCATCTTATATACTAAGGCAGGGTTAAACCAGAGCTCACTGATTCAGCTAGTTTAGCCAGCTTGCCCCAGGGATCCATCTCTGCCTCCAAAGTGCTTTGATTACAGGCAGGCTATCACCTCTTTCTGGCCTTTATATGAATGCTGGAGGTCTGAACTCAGGTCCTTAAGCTTAAGTGGTAAGCACTACCTGCTCAGCCGAGCTTTCAGGCCGAGTTTTGGTGGTTTTTGTTTTTTTTTTTTTTTTTTTTTTTTGTATCTTATACTGGTCTCAAACTCACTCTGTGTAGCCCAGTCTTATGAAATCACCTTGCCTTTCTTAGCCTCTTAGGTGCCAGTTATAAGCTTGTGTCATCAACTTCAGCTTTTTATTTATTTTCATAGCCTCCTAATAAGAGTACTGATTTATTTGTGATAGTATATTCTTACTGGTTTAACAGGAAAAAGTCTTTGAATACTCAAGTTCTTTTTCAGAATCGACTAGGCAGTTCTCATAAATCAGATTTCTCCTTATGTTAGAAAGATATTAATGATTTCAAATATCAGACTAGTAAACTGTTAACTACAGTTAATGTTTTGCTTCGGCAAAAAAAAAAAAAAAAAAAAAAAAAAGAAGCTGCATTAATGTTTTACAGTTATGGCTCATGAGGACAGTTTAATTTGTAATATTCACCAAAGTTGTTTCTTTTAAAAATATCAATTCAGATATGGTGGTACATGCCTATAATCTTAGTACTTAGTAGCTAAATAGGTTAGTTAGGAGTCCAAGGCCATCCTTGGCTATAGTCAGCCTAAGGTATATAAAACCCGTCTCAGCAAAATGCAGCTCCCTTTGCATATGGACATCAGAAATTTCCTTAAATTGACATCATTTACTATTTTTGTTTCATTTGGGTTCCCATTCTCTTAGGTTACTAACCTTACCCTAAATATACTGCATCATCTGTTTGCCTAATTGGAATGCCTGCCTGCACTTCCCCTCCCCCAGTCACACACCTGACACAGACACACAGGGATGGATGGATGGATATGGTTGGGAATATGGTGCCTGTTATCTTGAATAGTGCTGTTGAGAAAATTAGGTAAAGGGACTATGCTAAGGGAGTTGTCTATAGGGAAGAGGAGTGACCTCACAAGGTAACCTTTGAGTAAAGGAGAAGTGGGTATCATTCGGGCTGTGTTGGCATCAGCTATATCCAGATCATAGTGGTGTCATACTGATGATGAAACTCAGCATCTGTTTCTTTTTTTTGCTCCATTTCCTATTTTATATTACTTGTTGTTTACTTGAGACAGGGTCATTATTATCCTGGAGACCATGACTATGCAGACCATGATGGCCTAGAACTCAGTACAATCCTCTTGAAGCCATGCTGGGCCTTATGCTTTTTCAGTGTCTAAATATAGGAATGAATTTGTTTCTAGCATTTTGAGACATTGATAAAACATGGGATCTGTTTTTTGCTTTGCTTGTTTGTTTTTGCTTTGCTTGTTTCAATGATATTCAGGAAGTATTAACATTTAATGATTTAAATTTTTTGTTTTATTTTCTTAAATTGTAATTTAAAAGATAATGTGAAGAGGAAACATTAATGCCTCCCCCCCACCTCGCCCCTTTCCTACTATGGGGATAAAATCAGGGCCTCGCTCACACTAGGAAAGTGTTCTGCTACTGACTTTATCTTCAGTCATATTAGATTGTGTATTTTTTGTTGGTGTGAAGGGGGGTGTTTGATGGTTTTCAGGGGGAGGCAGTCTTCACTGTTTAGCCTTGGCAATGTAGACTTGAGAGCTACCTGTTTCTGCCATCTGAGTGCTGGGATTAAAGATATATTGGTTTTGCCAGGCTGTGGTAGTGCATACCTTTAATCCCAGCAGTCAGGAGGCAGAGGTAGATGGATCTCTGTGATTTCAAGAACAGCCTGGTCTATAAGAGCCAGTTCCAGGACAGCCTCCAAAGCCACAGAAAAACCCCTGTCTTGAAAACAAACAAACAAACAACAAAAAAAAAAAGATAAGTTGGTTTTTAAGGCATTGAGTTACTGTATTGCTAAAACTGGCCTTGAACTCTTGATCCTCTTGCCATAGCCTCTTGTGTCCTGGGATTACAGGTGTGTATAGCTATGCCTAGCTCTGGTATAGTTATTTTGAAGTATTTTTACAGAAGAGAATGAATTCTAGTTAATGTTAAATTCATTTGTGTTTTTCTGACTGAAGGAATTTTTGTTTGCCACCCAAGCAACTTAGCATATCGCTTACTGATAATCTTTTGGATTATTTTTTTGTAAAGTATTTAATTTCCATTTCTTACAAAATTCTTATTAAATTTCATTTATTGATCTAGGATTTTATGTCCAAAGGTACAGTATAAGTTTCTGAAGATACAAGGGAGATGAAAATAGCATTTCTGATCTCTTTTTTTTTTGGGACAAGATTTTTCTGTATAACAGCCCTAGTTGCCCTGAAGCTCACTTTGTAGATCAGACTGGTCTTGAACGCAAAGAGATCTGCATGCCTCTACCTCCCCAGTGCTGGGATTAAAGGCGTGCACCACCACTGCCATACCACCTGGCTACAATTATTTTATTTTATTTTTTTAATTTTAAGGGTGTTAGCAGTGCCACAGTACCATTTCTTATGCATTTGGGTGAAACCCAGAGCCCCCCATTTTATAGAAAAGTGCTCTGCCTCTGGGTTATACTTTAATTGAGATTTATCCTGTGAATATCAATAGAAAGATCCTCTATCCTATATTACTTAAGCTTAAAATGTAGTGCATGGTAATTTGGAATAGAGCTGGCAAATTCGAAACTTGCTTGATAATTGTAATTGTAGGGGAAAGGTACTGTAACAATAGAGTTTAGAAGGAAGAAGAAACACTTTGACTAAAATTACATTGCAGCTAACCTTTCTTCCTCTTCTTCCAGTTACTTACTTGCAGTGTGTTGGTTATTTTCTTGGTAGTTTACTCACAGACTATCCCTCGGGGGCCCTGCATGAGTAGCTTGTTTCATTCTTCCCCTACTTGTCCAGTATTGTATGGTGAACATCATCTAAGTACCAGAGCCTCTGCTGAGCCCCTAGGGATGCAGCTATCCAGCAAAGGCAATACAAAGAGAATCCTTTATGTTCAACCCATTCTCAAGATTTTTTTAGACATATTTCACCTTTTGTATAAATATATTTTGTGTAACTTAGGAAAAAACCATAACTAGTAGTTAAACTGACCATACCATAAGACCACATCTGTCCACTTTTCCCCATAGACCTTCTTTCCATCAGTCATTTGTCAGCACTATTTTCCCATTTGTATAACTTAATAGGATTTCTTGTCAATAGAACAGACCATGAAGGACCGAAAAACACATTTGGAGCATAGATTTGTCTTTATCAGTTAAATGTGATTGATTTTCAATTTGAGATACAGGATTTGAGTCTTTGGGTTATTAAGATAGATTTTGTCTTAGTTTAAAAACCTTTTAGGTTATTTATGGGTATATATGTTTGTATGTTTGTATATTATATGCCACATATGTGGTTATCTCTAGAGGCAATAGGGTGTCTGTTCCCCTGAAGTTGTAGTTATAGGCAATTGTAAGCTGTCTGATATGGCTGCTGGGAACTAAACTCTAGTCCTAGAAGAACAACAGTCAGCTCTTAGCCACTGAGCTGTCCCTTTAGCCTCAGACATTTATTTTTAAGTACTCAAGAAACTGCTGTGGAATTCCCCCTCACCTCTTGTCCTGGGGGATGAAGCCCAGGGCTTGGCATAAGCTAAGCAAGCCCTGTATGGTGGGTAGCCCTTAAATTTTAAATAGGTTTGGATGCCATTCTTCCACCTTAATAGATTTGTCCACTAGTTTTTTATCCAACAGCAATTAGTATATCTGTAGAGCTTTCAAGTATGGGTAGCCTGTGTTTTCAATTCAACAGGTCTCATGGAAGGCAAATTTAGTATACTAGTCAATAGAATTCTTTTGATAAATAATAGTCGTGAGAACAATTTGCCACTCTTGAGATTTGTTTTACTCTAGTAATTCTGACACTGCTAACCCTTTTCCTGTGCTCCAGCTGTTAAGGGATGTTGCCCTGAGTTGTCCCTAGGCTTGACTGCCAAGAAGGAAATTCATATCCACTTTAACAAGGTGTGAAGCTTATCTTAGAGTTGCTAATGCCTCACTGACCTTTTGGAAAGGTCTCTGGTCACTTATGAAGTTGAGCAATTTTTCTTATTTAAGACCTAATTAAATTTCTTATTTCTGAAATGTTCTCATTGGCAAATGTTTGGAAGGCTGTATCAGCAGCTGCAATCCTGCATCTATCAAAATTTAACTTCCAGAGAAGTTTTTATTCTGGCTGAGATCCTGGCCTTAATACTGGGAGTGCGCTGTTGAAAACTTGCTGTAGTGTTTATCACATTCATTCTTGTTTTCTCTTGCCCTGGAGGTCAATGGTAATTGGCATGTGTCAGATCCTGGTCACTTTCTGTTTGGTTTTTCTTTGAGCTGATTCTTGCTCGTTCAATCTTATTCCTGTTCTAGAGTTTCATATTGCCTTAATTACCTTCTAGTCATTTGCTATTTGTGTTAAAAAAAAAAAAAAATAAACTCTCATTGACTATGACTAGTATGTGGATTCATTATTTTTAACTATTAATTTTACTTATAACAGGGTTTTGTGTGTATATATGTACATACATGTTACACATACATATGTGTATGTACATATGTTTGTGTATTTTGAGACAGGGTCTCTACTGTGTAGTTATTGCTGTTTTGAACGCATCATGTTAACTCACACAGATCTACCTGCTTCCTTTTCCTGAGGAGAGCAAGGATTAAATGTTTTGTTTGTGTGTGCATGTACACAGAGGTCAGATAACAACTTTATGGATTCCAGGGATTGAATTCAGTTGTCAGGCTTGTAGGGGAATTGTCTTTACCTGGTAAGTGATCTTGCTAGCTCCTAGATAATCTTAAAGAGAAGGTTTTCATTGTGAAATATATTCATTTTAAACAACATTGACTTGGTTGTGTCCCCTACCCTCCAAAGTAAATTCCACTTCTCAGATCCAGTCCTTCAGGTTGGTAGGTTTCTGATAAAATTGCCACTGACATTTGTCAGAATCTGGCCCTGGATAATGGGAGGGAGCTTGTGTGCATATGTGACATGGACCTTGTATGGAGGTCAGAGGACAACTATCAGCAGTCAGTTATCAGGTCCTTCCACTGTGAGTTCCAGAATTGGACTCAGGCTTGCACAGCAAGTGCTTTTTTACTCACTCATCCATCTCACTTGCCCTCCTGGTTAACTTTTAACTTATTTGATCATTGGTTCTCAACCTTTTGGGAGTTGAATGACTTTTCACAGAGATCTCCTAGGAACATTGAAAAACACAGACATTTACATTACAGGTTGTAACAGCAGCAAAATTACAGTTATGAAGTAGAAATAAATAATTTGTGATTGGGGTCACCATATGAGAACTGTATTGAAGGGTCATAGCATTAGGAAGGTGAGAAACTCCCTTCGTTGCTGGTTTTTTGTTTTTTAATTAACTATGCTATCTTTTTTTCACATTGATAGTGTCTTGGCTATTAACTTGTAGATGGTTGGGGTGAGGGCAGTGGTCTTGCCTTGTTGCCTCAAAGTCTTTTTATTACCTTGTAGTATCTTCACTATTAACTCATAGTTGGTTGGAGTAAGGGCGAAGATTTTTGCCATGTTGCCTCAAACTGGCAATCATCCTGTCTTGCCCTCTTCCTGGCATAGATTATTAGGTCAGGTTTTTTTGTTGTTGTTTTTGTAATTACATTTTGATGTAATGTGTGTATGTAGGGTGTGTGCATATGTGTGTATGTATTCATGCACATGCCTTTTGAGAGATTTTTCTTTCCTGTTACTGTGTGATTGAATTCAGATTATCAGCTTGGCAGCAGGCACTTTTACCTGTATAAGCCTTCTCCCTAACCCCATTTATTTGGAGGGTAATTTTTGTGATTTCTGAAGTGCTGCATTGCAGTAATAGGTGCTGTGTGGTGAATAACCTTAAAAATACATTCCCAATTTTTAAATACCTAGTAATTCTGAGTGAACTTCACTACACTAGTCTGCACTGAATTTGAATGGTCAGTTCTTTTTACCTCTGAATATTTTTTTCTTAACTGTAAATTCAGGCCATGTATGTCTATGACTTGATGTGAATTTTTAAGGAGTATTTATTTGGTGTGTATGGGTGGTTTGCCTGCTTGTTCAGGGCCACGAATACCAGAAAAAGGCAACTGGAATTATAGATGATGATTGTAAGCCAGTGTCAGTGCTGGGAATGGAACCTTGTCCTCTGGACTACCAACCAGTGTCTTAAACTTGAGTCGCCTCTCTAGGCCTAGATGTGAGCATTAACTAAATCAGTGTGATTTCACATTTATCTGTTCACCTTTACTATAATAAAATCGGGTCTTTAAAGTTTTTTTTTTTTTTTTTTTAATATACACATAATGAATTGAATGAGAATCCTTTCCATAAAAACAAAACCCACTTTATGCTGTGGAGTAGCATTAAAAAAATAAAGTAGCCCAAACCTGGCAGCAGCAATGGCAATAATAAACACCTTTAATTCTAGCATTAGGCACTGGGTGGGTGGGGGCCCAGTGTGCAGAAGCAGGCAGGTCTCTGTGAAATCAAGGCCAGCCTATTGTACAGAGAATTCCAGGACAGCCAGAGCTGTTACAAAAAGAAACCCTGTCTTAAAAAACAAAATAACAACAGACAAACAAAGAGTTCATAATCTCAGTTAAGAACAGAACATAAGCCAGTTGTTTCTGTAACTGTATTTCATCTGTTTCTAGAGATGTAAGAAGAGGTTTTTTTCTATAATTCCTATAATGTGGGCCCTTTTTGCTTTAAAATGTAGCTAAGTCTTTGGAAGTCTAACCTGTGCCGTTTTTTTCTTTTAGGTTTTGGCTTGGTTTGAAGAAGGTGAAGAGACAATTACAGCCTTTGTAGAACCTTTTGTAATTCTACTTATATTAGTAGCCAATGCAATTGTGGGTGTATGGCAGGTAAGCATAAAATTCCTGCAGTTACATTTTAGTAGCTTATGTGACATTAACCCTGTGTGTGCTTAAGGCAGGCAGGCTGGTTTACCATACTTGTTTTTCTTCGTATAGGAAAGAAATGCTGAAAATGCGATAGAGGCCCTTAAGGAGTATGAGCCTGAAATGGGGAAAGTGTATCGACAGGACAGAAAGAGTGTGCAGCGAATTAAAGCTAAAGACATAGTTCCCGGGGATATTGTGGAAATTGCTGGTGAGTTGAGTTTATCTTTTTTTCCTAGGTTTTATTTCTAAAGGAGGTCCTTTTCTCTCTAGGTTCAGAATTATATTTAGTTAGATTTTTGTGTTTCAAGTTTTTTATTTGTTTTTTTAAGTTTTACAAACATGGGTGATTTGCCTGCACTCTGTGTTTGTGCACTTGCATATGTTCCTGGTCCCCACAGTCGAGAAGAGGGCACAGGATCTCTGGGACCAGAGTAAAAGAGGATTGTAAGTCAACATGTGGGTGCTGAGAATTGAACTCAGGCCCTCTTGAAGATGAGCCAGTGCTCTTAATCACTGAGCCATCTCCAGCTCTGTTTGTTTTTTCCTTTCTAATCAGTTAACACCGTTTCAGTGCTTGTTTGAAGTGTTCAGCACCTCTCTTCATATTCTCAGTAAGGTATGTTTTGAGGTTAATTTTTTGATGGAGTTTCACCATGTTGCTGTGTCTGGTCTCAAACTCCTGGATTGAAGTGACCTCCTGCCTCAGCCTCCTAAAAGGTTTCTTTGTTTTGGACGAGGTGTTTGAAGTGTTGTATTTACTAGTTGTAGTTATCAGTTGTAGAGCATTACTGCTGGTTATTTATCAGTTAGCTGTATTGATCAATTGGTTATAGCTAAGTAGCTACCTGCTGTTTTTAAAGTGGGTTCCCAACTCAGGACTTCATGCTATTATGGTGCATACTTAACTGACTAAGCTCTCTTTCCAGCTGCTCTTTTATTCTTGATTGATTCTGAGTTGTTTGTTTGCTTTGGACTTTTAGGATGGGATCTTGCTATGTAGTCCTGGCTGGCCTGCAGTGTGCTATGTAGACAGGTTAGCCTCAAACTCAAGATTCTCCTGCCACTCTGCCTTTTGGGTGCTGGGGTAAAGGCATGTAATACCATGCCTGGCAACTATTCAATTTTTTTTGAAACAAGGTTGGTTTCATATAACCCAGGTTGTCACTTAACTTGCTATGTAGTCTAGGCTCTGCTCACCTCCTGATCCTCCTACCTTCACTTCTTAGGTCCTAGAATTAGTGGTATGTGTCACTATCCTGGTTTTGGCACAAATGTTAACTCATACTTGGAACTGTCAAACTGAGTTGTTTATTTCATTTTTGGTTGTTTCATTGGTAGAATGAATAGAGAAGAGTTACTACAGAGGGTTTTTCAGATTGTGGCTTATTATTTGGTTTTGAGCCTACATTAGATTTGTTTGCTTTTATGTAGTGACCTGTAATTAATCCTTTTACATTGGTTTAGGGAAGATGGACTTTGTTATTATTGTCTTATTAATTAAAATAATCTTTTGTTTTTGGGTTTTTTGTTTTGTTTTGGTTTTTCCTGAGATAATTTCTCTGTAACAGTTCTGGCTGTCCTGGAATTAACCCCGTAGACCAGGCTGACCTCAAAGTCAGAGATCTACCTGCCTCTACCTCCTGAGAGCTGGGATTAAAAGAATGCACCACCACACCCAGTTTAATTAAAACAGTTTTAAAAACTCCATCTTGCATCTGTGCTCCTCAGCTCTTATGCCAGAAATTTGGCTTTTCTTAGACTTCTGTTGGTGAATTTTGTGACTGTTCTAGAATAACAGTATAGTTTGGATAAGTACTGATCAGTTGATTATTTGGGACTGCAAGCTTATATGCGTAAATACTTTGAGAATACTGTTGGGACCGTGAATGGTGGTGACCTCACTTTGATCCCTTTAGCCCAAATTGGAAGGAAAGAGCCAGCTCTTGGAAGTTGTCTTCTGACCTGCACATATTTGGCATGGCATACTTAGGTTCACATGAGCATGTGTGTTTTGTGCATGCACGCACGCATGCATGCATGCACACACACAGAACAGGATAGCCTTGGCTATCCTGGTACTCTGTAGATCAGGCTGCCCTCAAAGTCACAGAGATCTGCCTGCCTCTCCCAATTGCTGGAATTAAAGGCAAGCTCCACCACCACCCAGTTTTTGTTTTTTTTGAAACGGGTTACTGTAGCCCAGGCTGACCTTGAACTCAGAGATCTACCTGTTATTGCCTCCAAGGTGCTGGGATTAAAGGCATGTGGGTGCCATTACCTGGCTAAATATTTCCTAATTTTTAAAAAATAGCAAGTTAAATAGTCAGAAAACTTGGGTTGAATATTTAAGACAGAAAAAAGTTGGCTAAATTTACTAAATTTTACTTGAATAAATGTAATCAGTAGTCAGTACCTACACTTAAGTCTGTATCCATTTGACCTGTTTCTGAATTCTTCGTGGGCAATGCTAACAATTGCTAACTGGCTACTTCTGCATATGCATTATGGAAAAGCTTAGGCAGTATTCTAACCTTGTGCTAATGCTTTCTCCTTGGACTTTGATCATTCTGAGAGGTATAAAACACGGTAATGACTAGGTTTTTTTTTTTTTTTTTTTTTTTTTTACCTAGATATTTTGTTAAAAGTTCTTATACTCCTTTCTTCCTAGGCATGTGCTAAGTACTCTGTAATTCTGACCAAAACATGAAATCACAAATGTGGATAGGTACATCTAATAATTATACTTACTATTAAGTTTGCTCTGCAGAACAGACACTGAAAATGTGTGAATGTGTTGAGAAACAGGTACTTAGAATGAGTGGATATTTCAACAACTTTACAAATATTTGGTTACTAGCCATAGCCACTCTAAATATGTCTGTTTACTTTCTCTAGTTGTGGAAAATTGATCCCTATATTTTCTAGACTGTTTATACATGATAAACATATATATGGTATGTATAAGTCACATTTCAATTTGTTGATATCTCAAATCACCACTTTTTAGCATCATACTGATATGGTTCACACACACACACACACACACACACCTACCTACCTCTTTTAAAAAAGAATAAAATATTTGAGTTATTAGCTAATAGCCATTGTAAGGAGTGATGATGTGAACATTTGAACTATCTGGAACACTGGAGTCACATAAAATTCCTTGGCAAAAAGAGAGAGATAACTCTTTTATTCATCTTCTAAATCCACAGCAACTTTATATTATTTTTAATACCAGGAGAATATTTCTGATGGATGGAAGCAAAAAGTAGTAAAGTTGTGCATGCTCTTACAGTAAGGGACCATCAATAGATTAAGTTTTCTGTGTTATCTGTTAATCTTACAAATGTGGATTAAACTATAATAGGAAAAAGGACTCTGTTTTTAGAATTTGGCAGTGGCCTTGGTGTTTGTTCTGGGGGCTTATTTATCCAAGGGCACTGTTTTCATTACTGTTTTAAATAGATGTTGTGTATCTTGGTAACAGGGTTGATGATAGCACAGAGCATAAATATGCTCCTGTCCTGTAGCATTCTCTGGAATGAGCCCTATTAAGGTTAAGCAAGTGATAAAAATGACACAATTCTAACATAAAATTGCTTTAAACCTTCTGTAAGAAATAGATTTTACATGTCCTTTAATGAAGACTTAATTGTCCAGCAATTGAGACAGCATTTTCCAGACTTATTCAGTAATAAAGTATAATTTTTAAACCTGATGACTAGTTAAAGGAAGAAAAGTTTATAGTAATGAGATTTAGTAATACAAAGTTAACCTGGTTAGCCTTGTGTGAGGTGGCTCATGCCTTTAGTCCCAGCACTTGGGAGGTGGAGGCAGTGGGATCTCTTAGTTTAAGGCCAGCCTAGTCTACATATTAAGTTCCAGGAAAGCCAGAACTACATAGCAATACTCCATCTCAATCCCCCATTCCCCGCACACACACATAGGTGTGACCTTGCCAAGCATTTGAGTACAAGGCAAGAGTGTGGGATAGATGACCCATTCTTTTAAGAACACCAACATTATCTTTCTCTGACATTGGACAGAGACAGTTCACCACTACAGAACTTGGCAGTTAACATGAACTTAATTTCTGTGAGAGTGTTTCCCATAGCCTAGGTAGGTCATGGTCTATCCAAGGCAGACTTTGAACTTATTCTGCTTCTACTGCCCAGGTACCAAAATACAGGTATGCAACTACTATTCCCATATCTGAATGGGTTCTCTCGAGCCACTTTTTTTTTTTTTTTTTAACATTTTTATTTATTATGTAAACAACATTCTGCCTCCATGTATGCCTGCATGCCAGAAGGTGGTACCAGATTTCATTGATGGTTGTGAAGCCACCATGTGGTTGCTGGGAAATGAACTCAGGACCTTGGGAAGAGCCATCTCTCTAGCCTCTGAATGGGTTCTAAGGAACTTCCTGAATATAAAACACATCTAGATTGGATAATTGTGACCATGAGGCTTGATTTTTTTTTTTTTTTTTTTTTTTTTTTTTATTTTAGAAAGCTGTCAGAGTTGAGTGGCCCGGCTTTGTACATTTACCAAACATCTAATGCTATGCCTCAATAGCTCACCAGCCATGAGAGCAGAGACCTAGCAGTATATGAGATTTTTAGCTTTGGTTTTTGTTTTGAGTAGGTCCTTACCAGGCTGGGCTCCAAAGCTACACAGAGAAACCCTATCTCAAAAAAAATAAATAAAAATAAAAATAGCATGGAATCTAGGCACTTAGAACTTTACCACTAGTTTATTTTGGGGGGTGGGTCTTCAATTTTTGTTATTTGCTAATTTTTTTCAGACAGGGTCTCTCTCCATAGCCTTGGCTGTGTAGGCCACTCTGTGTAGGCCAGGGTAGCCTGTGAACTCCCATGAATCCTCCCGCTTCTACTTCCCAAGTGCTGTGATTAAAGGCATGCACCACCGTCTCTTGCCTGTTTGATTCGCATTACAGATGTTTTGTCTGCATATAGGTGCCTGCAGAAGCCAGAAGAGGCCATTAGGTCTCTTGAGACTGCAATAACAGATGGTTGTGAACTTCCATATGGGTACTAGGATAGCCATACCCTGGGTCCTCAGGAAGAACAATCAGTGTTCTTAACCTGTAAGTCATCTCTCCAGCCCTGTTTTGTTTTTTAAGTACCTAACTTCATGGGCAATTTGATTATATAAGTTTGAAATGGAGCAGAGTAGTTCTAG